AGAGAACTGCATTAAGTCTAGGTCATTATACCAAATACCACAAGAGTACACAAGAAAGTTGGGACGATATTTTGACAAAATCATTTAAGAAAAAAGGTTTTGCCTCAAACTGTATTGACGGATTTTTCGAGTCATTTCAGACCTTAGAACGGTGCTTCAGCTACTGTTTACACAAATTTCTAACATGAGTAACTTTTTAACTCAGGGGGTCCAACTCAGTTTCACAATGGACCAAATTAAAAACTTGATCAAGGAACAACCCTTATTGCTTTTTCTTGAAAAAATAAATTTGCCATGATTATTTATTATTTTCTCATGTTAACACTTTTATACCAAAACTGTATTATTTTTTATTAATATCCTATATATCATTCAGTGGTGGCATGGTTAAACTGTAGAGCTGCCACCTTTCAACGAGAAGGTTGCCAGTTCAAATCCTGGCCCGGCACCTTTCTGGATGGACTTTGCATGTTCTCTCCGTGCATGCGTGGGTTTGCTCTGGGTACTCCGGTTTCCTCCCACAGACTAAAAACATGCATGTTAGACTGATTTGGTAACTCTAAATTGTTCCTAGGTGTGAGTGATAGAGTGAATGATTGTCTCATTTGTCTCCATGTGTCCCTGTGATGGACTGGAGACCTGTCCAGGGTGTCCCCCGCTCCTCGCACAGTTACTGCTGGATCATCAATGAACCCCACGATCCAGAAAGGAAAAAAGGGGGTAAAGATAATGGATGTATATCAGTCAGAACAGAGTTTACTAGAATCTTTATCATTTAAATACTTTCATACATTTCCTGTCTTCCTTTTGAATAACTTTTTTTTGATTGCTTATGAAAACATTTTAGCAAAGACTGTCAAACAAATGTAACTCGATGAGAATGTAAACGGTTACAAACATTTCAACATTTCTTCCACAGAACGACGCCGTCACATTCACCATGTACATGTCACCATGTTTGATCGATTCTTTTCCTGTCAAAACAGATTAATAAGATGTTCAGACTTCATTTTCTCCACAACATTTGTGAACTCAACATTTAGTTTATTCTGTTTTGAATAAATGCACAAGACAAACTCTTCCTCTCAATACATAGCTGCAGGAGATGTGAGGAAAGCTGCGCATGACATTGACCTTTTTACACTTCCAAGCCTATAATCGGGCAACAAACTCTTCAGTAGTATCGTAGCTATTTCAGCCGACCTTGCACCTACTTTTTTAAATTGTCTTTTATATACAAATATGTTTCAAATTTAGTTTTATTAGTATTTGACGTTGTGAGCACAATGTGCCATAATGCTGCCGGGTGACTACAGAGCACGAAACAGAGTTTGAGATTGAACACAGTTTAGACTGAGTGTATTTGAACAAAACAAAAGTAGTCACAATACTATTTAGACCACAATGCATCACAAAATACTGACTTTTCGCACATGCATTCGTAACTGTGAAGGGTGTGCCGTGTGGCCCTAGTGCCTGACGAGTTGAGTCAACTGCGACAGAAAAGGTTTTAATGGTGAAAACGTCTTTAGTGATAATTTCATCTGACAAAATCTCATGATATAAAATCTACCAAGGTGGACACAAATCTGTAGGAACTTGGTTTTAGCTGAACCGAACCGGGACATTTCCCAATTTTCCAGTGCTCCTGATGGCTAGTCCGCCCCTTGGCGCCGATAGGCTCAGTGAAGGCCCCCGCATACGTACTTTAGTGTACTTCACTTCACGGAGGTCCATGCATACTCGAGGCGGACTCAACGCAGACTCGATGCAGACATCCGCTGGCCATGTTCGTGCAAAGATACATTTTTATGACTGCGTACTTATACTCTGTGTCGCACAATAAACTGCCTGGCAAGACACAGTGTTCACATCGAACTGTTTTGTATGCGACACCAATCGCAGTGCGGATGCGCAGCACGACTGCTGCTCTCAGTGCAGCGCTGACAGGTGTGCGTTGGCTGCCCTGGTGGTAAAGAAACGGGGCTAAGTGCCCAACTAGCTCATCGAACTTCCTAGAATTCTTTTAAACATATTCAAAATGTTTCTCACTGTCCTTTGTCTTCATGTCCATCACCAGTGTATTAACTTCCCCTTCTTCATCCCTGGTCTGGTTCAATGGCTTTATGTACCATCACCTTTTTTTTTTTTTTTTAAAAAGCTCATAAGAGGCAAGAGATCTCTTCCTCCTCGTCTGTTGACGCCATGACTGAAATTGTGAGAAATGAAGGAATTTGTCACGAGAGAATTTTAGGCAATCTGTACACTCGAGTATGAAGTCTCATCCGTCTGCGGACAGTACGCGCAGAGTCCGCTTGGCTCACGGAGTATGCACAGAACGCCAGAGTAAGTGGGGACCTTAACCATAGCATCAGTCTGTCTGCTGTCTTTTGCTGTGCTGTTTAAGAGCATTTAGAACATTGTTAAGAACATTGCAAGAGTGTGGGAAGGGTTTATAAAGCCTTAAAATATATAAATACTAAGATAAATAGGGCGTCCCTACTTGGCAGATTTTCACCTTTCGCAGGGGTATCTGGAATGCAGTGGTGGGATGTAACTAAGTACAAGTACTGTACATTTTTTCATGTATCTGTACTTTACTTAAGTAGAGTTAAACATAGTACCTTTGACTTTTACTCCACTACATTTTACATTAATTATCTGTACTTTCTACTACACCGCATTTCTATAATGTATTGTGTTACACGTTACATTCACGTTGCAGCTTTTTGATTTGTTTGTTAGTTTGAAAGTATCCAACGATGAGAGGGGAGTTGGTCCACTGAATCACTGCAAAGTGGGCAGGTAACATTAGACCCACCTTCAAGAAGAGCTGGGCCAATGACGTATATTCTAGTTTATATGTCATTGAGCTGGGCACACTGGCAGCACCACAAACACACCCAAAATGGATTCAACCATGGAGAGTCACCCAGAAGATACGCACCACCCATGGCCTCATTGAAAGACTATTCAGTACCGCAAAACAGATTATCTCTCCCAAAGGAGCCAGACTGGACTCGAAAAACTTTGAAAAACAACTTCTTCTGAACTTGAACAATAAATTGTTGCCTCAATATTAAAATATGTCAGTTCATGGGTTGTTGGGACAGGAGACGAGATTCTCCAAATGGCTCAACACTCGGGTCCAAGTTTTGAAAATGGTGTCAGGAAGTTAAAATATTGTTCACTATTGACCCATTACAAAGTTGACTAGACAGGATTTTAACTAGAATTGATGACAAACTGGAGTTAAAATGATCAGAGCCTGTTCCTTTCTAAGTTGAGTCTAATGCTCCTTTTGTTCAGGCAGACAACTTTTACTTAAATGTTTTAACTGTAGTTAAAATGACACATAGATTTTTCTTTGTGTTAAATAAAAACTTTCAAATGTATAATCATTCCTTTCTTATTTTGATTAATGTCATTTAACTCTGCATGTCATCCCTGAAATTCTGACGCACAAAATCACAAGTCCAAGTGTGAACTGTGTCACAGAGTAAACACAATAAAAACATGTATTATCTGCAGCATTGATCATTAAAATGACACAACACTATTAATGTATTACAGAAAATATACATACTGTAGGCACACTTAATGATACTGTAGACCATTGCATTAGGTAATACATTCAGCAAGTACTTTTACTTTTAATACTTTAAGTATTTTTAAACGCAGTTACTTATTTACTTTTACTTAAGTAAAAAATGTTAATGTGGTACTTCTACTTTTACTAGAGTACATTTTTGTCTGTTTATTTGTACTTTTACTTAAGTACAGTGTTTGAGTACTTTCTCCACCACTGCTGGAATGTAACTACTGTATACTGGATATTTGCCTTAAAATTTACCCGTTATAGGTAATTAGGTTTTCATTTTAGTCAGATGTAAATTATCCCAAATTTAGTCAAGTAACGTTGAGACGTCCACGGATTATCCTTGAGTAGTTCATCAGGTTAGAAATGTTTCATCCGAGGCTCATTAAAAACAACTTGGAGTAGATTTGCTTCCTGTTGAGAGAACAAGCAAACTCAAAAAGACGCCACTAAAACCCTCCCATGGTTTAATAGAGTGGGTGTTCTCTCTGTAGGTCTGAACATTTGGGTTTTAATGCACTAAAATATGTACACCTTTACTCTAGGGCAATAAACACTGCGCTTCATTTTTCTATAATTTTGTAAAACTACATATTTGAAACCGTGAACCTGCCCTATAGGAGATCAAAAAAGCTGCTCATTATCCATTTCCCTCCCTCTGAATGCTCACTCGTTTTCCTGCGCTAGAACTAAAAGGCGAGCTGTTGTAGAAAATAACTTTTAGTAGCTTGCTTTTGTTTGTGTACTCTCAGGAGATCCCTGGAGGTTTGTGAAGGTTAGAGGAGGAGTGTGCAGGAAAACAGATCTGTTTTATCTTCTTTCTTTTTTTTTAAGACGAATGTATAAACCTGCTGTGAAAGATGGCAGCCCCCCATGACCTCCCACTATTCATGAGCTTTTATCACGGCTGCAGCCTGTCACTGAGTCACCTCATTTGGCACGCACAAAGGATTGTACATACAATCAAGCCACACACGTCTCCTGATTACTTTAACACAAGCCAGCATACCTTGTCCTCTGGATAGATTCAGCCGATGAGACGTCCAGATTACAATGGCTGTTTTGCTTGGTCAAACTGTAACTGATTTTTCCTACTGACAATGATTCTTCTTGTTCTCTAACTACCAAGCCAGAGGGGTGCTAGGACTAATTTGACAGCTGCCACGGCTCATTATCAGATAAAAGCGACACTTCTTGGCCCTGCAGTTAAAGCAGTGTAGCTGTTATTTGTAATAACCTCTCACATTGCACGCTGTCATAGTCGGGATTCCTTTCATTTCTAATTTTATGTTAAATAGAGCCCCATTTTGAAAGTCATCACCTGTATGAGAATACATCTGCTGCTGAGTTTCACCTTTAACTAGGCTGCCGGCCTTTTTGTTTTCTCCCTCCGTCTCATCAGACTTGACAATGGACTCCTTCAGCACCAAGAGCTTGGCCCTCCAGGCGCAGAAGAAGCTGATGAGCAAGATGGCCACCAAGAGCATGGCCAACCTGTTCATAGACGACACCAGCAGCGAAGTGCTGGACGAGCTCTACCGCGTCACTAAAGAGTACACACGCAACCGCAAAGAGTCCCAGAAGATCATCAAGAACCTGATCAAGATGGTGGTGAAGCTGGGAGTGCTTTACAGGAACAACCAGTTCAACAGCGAGGAGCTGATCCTGGTGGAGAACTTCAGGTGGGCAGGAGGTCTCAGAAAGACTTTTATTCTCTTTTAACTCGTTTTCACTCTTTCACGTCAGCCCAGATGCTCCGCTGTTGGTTTTACAGGTTCTTTCACATTTGGGATTTTTATAAAGCTCTGTTTCAATTTTAGACAATTTCAGTGTCTCTAAGAACCAAACTTGACAACAAAAAAGTTTTTTTTATTATCATCATTTTTGGTTGAATTGCAAATTTAGTCTTACAAAACAACATTTACAGTTTTTTACTAATTGCATTTTCTTTAAATCAGCATATTTGTAAGTAACGGTACTATCCAAAGGGTTATTGAACCAAAGTATTTGTATATATTAAACAACTAAAAATTACAATCAAAGTTCATGCTCAGGAATCCAGGTACAAATCCACCAATGTTCAGTCAGGTCATCTGGATGGTTTCTTTTCTTGCTGAGACATTTTGTCCTTCATCCAAAGGACTTCTTCAGTCCGAGGAGCCACAAACAAACTGGAATCTCACAAGCACCACACTCTCGTAGTGGGGAAAAAACTTTGCTTTGATAAGACAGTTTCTGGGGCCCACCCTTTCCCCCATCATCTCCTCTAAGGCAGCCATGCCAAAATGGCTAATAATTTGCCTTTTTATTGTTTCTTCTAATTTATGTAACTATCTGTTTTTACACTTTAAAATATAAAAGTGCACAAAATAACTGGACAAAACCCATCCATCTATTATCTTTACGCATTTCCTTTGTTTGGGTCGCGGGGGTCACTGGTGCCCATTTCCAGCCATCACTGTGTGGAAGGTATGGGACACCCTGGACTGGTCTTCAGTCCATCACAGGGACGGAGACAAACGAGACAACCAGCCATTCACTGTCTCACCTAATTTAGAGTTGCCAATCAGCCTAACATGCATGTTTTTGGTCTGTGGGAGAAAACTGGAGTACCCGGAGAAAACCCACGCATGCACTGAGAGAACATGCAGACTCCATCTAGAAAGGCCCCCGGACCGGGATTTGAACCAGGGTAACCTGATAGCTGAGAGACAGCAGCTCTACCAACTGCACCACCGTGCTGCCCTTGACAAAACCTTAAAAAAAGGGAAACAATCAAACATCCATTTTAAGTAAATTTGTGCCACCTAATGGGAGGAGAAAAACTCAGTCTTGCTGTTAGAGGTGTTTATTTTCTTAAATCTTAACATCCTGATAACTAGCATTTAAAGCGTTTAATTATTATTAAATCTGTTTTTTCATTTGTCTCCTGCTTTCAACAAAGTGAGCAGGCCTTTAAACCTCAGCCTGTATTTTACTGTTCGCAGCAGATGTACAACAATCGTATTAACGTTCAGTTTTCTTTCTGTAGCTCTTTACTAGGCCTGTCACGATAAACGATAAATCAATTAATCGCATGATAAATTAAAATTATCAACCTCATTTTCATTTATCGGCTTTATCGTTTCTTTGTGTCTCTTTCTTTCTACTGAAGACACTGGATGACAAAAGGCTCAACTCTGGTGCTCTTCACTGACCCCTCCCTTTCTCTTTTCTCTTTAAAATCAATTTTAACCGTCCAAATTCGCGTTTTTGGATTGTTAAAAGTAGCTAAGCTGAGAAGCTAAGCTACGAGCTAAGCTAACAGACTGACCTCGGGAATAAAACCTCCGTCTTGTCGAAGCTCCAAAGTTCACGGTTGAAACTCGCACCTTCATGTAAACATTTGTTTTTCTCTGCAAAAAGAAGCTGAGTTTTTGTTTACTGTTTTTTTTACATTTATTATTAAAAGCTTTGTGTGAAAAACCACACCGAGTGTCCACTATTTTGAGAACCGAAAAAAAACCAAAGAGAGACAGCCCATGTCAGTCAAGGGGCCTCCCTCCTATTTTTCCTAGAGACACGCTGCTCTCTCCCTCACTATCCATCCTTTGGTTCAAACAGTCTTATAATGCCATCCGGTGGTCAAAAAAAGGTACTACACACAAAATTAACTAACATTTCCAATCAAATTTGACAATAATTACTAATTATTGTCAAATTTCAAACAATATTATTGTTTATCGCAATAATTTCTGAGACAATTAATCGCCCAGCAAAATTTGTTATCGTGACAGGCCTACTCTTTACACCTCTTTTTCTTCCTCTAAATTTATTTTTAAACACCTGACAGGTATGTCTTATTTTAGCTTCCAGGTGAAAACATTGATACTATAAGGCGCAAATTAGTTACTTTGCTATGATGAACGCGTTCATAGGCCAGAAAAATTAAAAAAAATTAATTGCCAGTCACAGGTCAAGGTGGTAAAGTTAAAAATCAGCCAGTTTCTTCTGCGCAATGCATTTTTGATATTCTGTTTCTGATTTGAACTAAAGTTTATTGTTCAGGTTCATGTTTAATTACTTCCCACAGCAGAATCTCAAACTCGCATCATAACTATAAATTGTCTTCCGTTTCTCTCCAGCATTGCTGACTAAAATTTGACAGCCCTGAGGAATAAGGCTGTAGTATTTTATTTTTTAATAATAAAAAAAAAATGCAGGAACAGTGGTTTTTGTGTGCTGATGGAAGCAGCTTAATGGAATTGACTTTTCTGTTTATATGTAACTTTTTTCCCTGCTAAAACAGTCAAATTCATCTTGGAGGCATGTGATATAAGTGCACGGTGTGGAGAATCTGGATTATATTAGCATGGAGATGTGTGGCTGTGCAGGGCAGCGCTGCAGCAACTGCATTAGAGCTGTGAAACTTTTCTTAAAAAAAAAAAAAAAAAATCACAAGACAGCAGTTTCTATTTTTACTTACTGTTGGCTGCTCTGGTCAGAGTTAGAAAGTGACGTCCTCTTTTCTTTCTCTCCTTCTCTCCGTTTCTCTCTCGCAGGAAGAAAGTTCACACTCTGGCCATGACGGCGGTCAGTTTCCACCAGATCGAGTTCACCTTCGACCGTCGCGTCATGAGCACCATTTTGAACGACTGCCGCGAACTCCTGCATCAGGCCATCAAGCGCCACCTGACGGCCAAGAGCCACTCACGGGTCAACCACGTCTTCAATCACTTCGCCGACTGCGACTTCCTGGCTGCTTTGTACGGGCCCTCCGAGGTGTATCGAGCCCACCTGCAGAAGATCTGCAACGGGGTCAATAAGATGCTTGATGATGGGAACCTCTGACCTTATTCTTCACACGAGGCACTTTTCCCGTCACTCTTCTTGTTGGAGTTTCTATTTCTTTTTTTTTAAAGATGACAATCATACATGTTTTTTTACATTAGCTGCTTTGTGCCTTCCAGACATTCAGAAAATCTGGCATGCTCCTCTAAAGTTTGTCCAAAGGCTTTTTTTTATTGTTTTTTTTTATCAGCTTCTTTTATTACTTTATGCATAAAAGTCCAGCTATCTTCTTTTATAAAAACGAATGTAAACCTTTACGGTTTTATGAGTACATTCTGGAGTCGGAGCCGTGATAACTGCCTTTTAAGATCGTGTTTTATTCGTTTTCCAAGGACTTTTGTGTTCCTTTACTTCAGACATAAATCGAGACGTGAGCCTTCGGTTTGATCTGTTTTGTGACTTTAGGGGTCGTGCACCTAGAAAGGGGGGGGGGGAAGGTTTTTGAAGAATTTAAAAACCTGATTTCATTTTTGTGTTTTTGTCTAAAAGTAGTGTTGCACTTAATCCTGAATAAGCGCTGTACCGTACCTCCCTGCAGTATTGACACCATGTGAAGCACAGCTGCTGGGTAATCCTGCTTAGCCTGCATTTTACTGCTCTCACCAGCATGCACTGAAGTCTGCGCTCGAAAAAGAAGCCAGGCATTTATTCAGAGGGTCAGTTCAAACTTTAAAAGTCTGGTTTATACGTTTTTGAATAAGTAAGACAAAAAAGAAACACGAAAGTATTTGTGTTGTTGGTGGCGTTGAATGATTGAATATCTCCCCGTGATATAATGAGGCCAGAGGAAGCAGCTCTGTAGCAACAGGTGCACCGTGCACAGCTTACTCGAGCCTTTTTTTTTACTGCAGGAAATGAATTTTTTTTTAAAAACTGAAACTACTCGTCATAATTGATGTTTGAGCCCAGGTTTCGTTTTAGCTTCATTGCCTCGGGTTGCTCCTGAAAGCACTAAATCTCTGGTTCCAGTTCTGTCACATCTGATTCAAAACGACTTCTTGTGAGCAGTCAGATGAAAGACCGGTGGAGAAGTGCAGCTCGTTGTCTGCGTGGAGGGCCCGGCCACGTGTCAAAATTAGAGCGGAGACAAACACAGCACCTGATTGTGCTCTTCCACTGCAATTATAGCTCCCCTCGCCGAGGCGATATAATGGTCGCCGCTGTCGAGCAGCCACTCGATTTCACACTGCAGCCTCGTGTGACGCAGATAACCGTCTCCGTTTGCATCCTGCAGGTCTCTAATAAAGTGAAAGACGCGTTTCTTTTAAGGGACATATGAATCAAGTAGCCCTCTGTGACATCCCATAATGACTGTTTTTTTTCCCTTTTTGTCTACGTGTTTTTTGACTTTGTCTAGATTATTTGGTGCCTCTGCCTCATTTTGTATTCTGTGTGTGTGTGCGCGTGTGTGTGTACCTGTGAGAGAATTGGAAATTGAGCCGTGTAATAAGTGCTGTGCTTTCCCAGATAGGATTGCTGAAACTAACTTCTTCCGCATCAGCTCAGCCAAAGAAAATAGGACTGATGTTCCTCCAAATGCAGTCTTCTCTCAGAGTAATAATCAACATTATGCACTTGCTAAACATAATCTTGCTACTGATGATTGAGAAGTGGTATCGGCCTGTTTTTATTCACGTTTATATCGTTTAGAAGACGTCTTTGGCTGTTTTTATCATTCCATAGAGCTATTTGACTGCATTGGTTTTTTTTTAAAGGCTTTGAAGGAAATCCTTTTCCTCGAAAGAGTCCACTTTTAGTTGTATTCCTGTGCTATTTTCTCCAGTCTGTTCACATCTCAGGGGTAGTTTAAATCTACAATTTCAAAATCAGTTCACGAGCACCACGAGCCATTGCAACAGCCTCGCTTATTCTACTAACGCACCCACAATAAGTCTATTCATGTTGCATTTATACTTATGTGAAATGTTTTTTCTCTCTTATGTACATAAATTGTTATACTGTGTCTCTTATATTCCATCATGACAAATATATTACATGCTACTTTTTTAAACAAATAAACTTTGTCCTTGTGTCTGTTTTTTACATTTTTGTCCCTGATCTTGTGCGGTCTTCTCCAATCAGTGCGTTGCATGTCAGAGTTTTCTGGCCAGATTGGGACTGACTAATCTGACTGTGTGTCTGACCTGAATTTAGTCGGCCAAATCCCTTCCTCCTGCTCCCAGCATTGTTGGTAAAGCCATGAAAGAAAACACAAACCCATCTGACTGACAAACAATTCGAGCTCGGGTCATTTTTTTCCACTTGCATGCCTCTCGCTGCACGGTCAAAGGTAGAACAGGAAATGAGTAATCCGGAAAGACTTTGTGCTTCTGTTGGATGTTTAAACATTCGACTCGGCTGCAGTTTCATTTCGAGCCCTTTGTGTTTATTCACTCTGGGTTTAATGCATTGATGACCGATGCAGTTCTCCAAAGTGGAAATAATAATATGGTCAAAACACATCAGCGTACTTCAGAGCCTCATGCAGGACTAAGAGCTTGCTTGTTCTTTAATAAGGTCATTACCTCAACATGCATGTGATGCCTGAGTTCAGAGCACTGAACATGTATGCTCTTTTGTTGGTGAATAGGACAAAATTATTGTTTTAAGTTGAATTCTAGAGAAAGGTGTGGTAAAAATTTAGATTTACTGTGTGTGCGTGCGTGTGTGTGTGTGAGAGAGAGAGTGAAGCACTTTGTGGAATTTTAAAATTCTTAATGACAATCATGACTTGTGAGTGGATGTGAAGGAGGGCTCTGATACAGTTTTTTTGTTGGAGCTAGCTTCCACTGGGGCATAATTATCATTTCTACATAATGAAGTGACTACAAAGGAGCTGGTCTGCATTCTAAAAAAAGGAGCTGGATACAGGAAGCATGCAGAGCATCCATTACTCTGATACTCAGGCGCTTTGAGTTTAAATATATTCAAAGGGATAGTTCAGACCTTCTGGAGTGGGGTTTTGTGGAAATGTTATGAACAGTAAATATCTTACCTGTTGCAGAAAACACTTTGGACAACCTCCGTTTGGAGAATTTGTTTAATTCTGACTGGATTGATAAGCTGTCATTTACCAATAAATACATTTAATCTTATTTTCAATTTGCTAGTGGTCATTTTGAATTGGGCTGACTTCAAAACATTAAGTAGAGAAATTGAATTTCTTGCGAAAATGCAGTGTGAATGCTTATTGCAGAAGAACTTGCTTAAAAAAAAACTGAAATTGGCTTAAAAAAAAGCATGCTAAAATGTTGCTAAAATGGGAAAACATGCCAAAATTAGCAGAAGAAAGCAGAAAGAACACATAATTGCCAAATTAGGTTTAAGTAAGCAGAAATGACCACAAAAATACAAAATTAGCTTAAAAAAAAGCCGAAATTAGCAAAAAAACAAAAACCTGAAAAGGCAGAAAGAAGCTTACACTACCAGAAGGAAGTGGAAAAGCTGAAATTAGCTAAACAATTAAGTGGAATTACCTGAAAAGGCTAAATTTAGCATAAAACAGCTAAATACTAGCTGAAATAGCAGAAAAGGCTGAAACTAGCAGAAAAAAACACTAAAAGGACTATGACTAGCTGAAATTAGCAGAAAAAACCCCACTAAAAGGACCATGACAGAGAAGTTATTAGGCTAAAAGTAGCAGGAATTGCCACCAAAAATTTGAACTTATCTGAAAGCAGCTAAAACTGGCTAAACAATGCTTAAAAAAAAGGTAGCTGAAAAGGTAGAACAAGCTTAAATTAGCAGAAGAAAGCATAAAGAACAGGTTTGCCCTATTAGGTTGAAAGAAGCAGAAATGAGCACAAAAAAGTGGAAATTACCTGAAAAAAAGCCGAATTGAGAAAAAAAAAAAAAAAACTGCTGAAAAGTAGCTAAAAAAAAAAAAGCAAAAATAAGCTTAAGTTACTAAAAGGTCGTGGAGAGAGCACATTTTTGCTGAATTAGGCTGAAAAAAGTTTAAATGAATGCAAAATAATGTGAGATTGGATGAAAAAGCTAAAATTAGCCAAAAAAAACCCCAGTAGCCGAAATAGTATAAAAAGCTGAAATTTGCAGAAATAAGCTGAAAGGAGCAAAAGCTGAAATTTGCAGGGGAAAAGTTAGGAGAAGCACAAAACAGCTGAAAAAACAGCTGTAATTAGCTGAATTTTTTTTAAATTTGCACATAGAAGCTGAACCAAAACAACATGTGAAAGGAGCAGTAAAAGTTTGTAAACAGATCTAAAGATTTGAAGGATGTAAAATGAGCTCAATTCATTTTCTTCTAGAAAAAAAAAATGCCAGAAATGGCTAAATATGTCAAAAAGCTAAAGTTGCACCAACACCAAAAGTCATAGCAGGATTGTCCTGAAGGAGCTGAACATTTTGATAAATGATTGTTGAAATAGCACAAAAATTGTGGAATGAGAAAGATGCTGAAAAACGTATGGAAGAATTTAGCACTTGCAGTAGGATCACAGTGTGAATGCTTAGTAAGCGTTCACACTATTGGTTGTAGATGTACGTCCAATGATTACTTTCTGAGAGCTTCATTAGAATCTATCCTGTGGTTCTTGAGAAATTTTGCTAACAAAAAGACAGGCAGAAGCATCATCGCCTATGGAAAATGGTTCGGTTGCTCTGCGAGGTGATTGCACATCTCTCTGAGGAAGGACGGACCCAACAGGACTTGTCATGGTTCATCCCTGCGAGGGTTCAGTTAGTTTTGGCACAACTCTGCAGTCTGGCTGCAAATCAATGCAGGCGCCCAAATAATCTAATGTTTGAGCTGCGCAACAAAACAAACCGCAGGACGTTGTGTTCACACAGCGGGCAGCAGTCTGCTCGTTCACGGCAACTCTCATCCATACTTTCAGATTTTTCTTTTAGCATCAAGGCCAGAAAATAAAAGGCAGAAAGAAAGAAAGAAAACAGCCTTTTGGGGTTTAATGAGCATTGAAAAGGACTGGGAGCGCAGTCAAAAAAAACGAGCGGCACTAAAAGAGAAACCGCTAAATGAT